AACAAATTAATTAAATATCAAACCAATTGAAATGAAGATATATTATTATTACCTATTGAGACGATCATTTGAATATCGTCTATAAAAGGTCGTAGGATAATATTTTGAATATTATTTTCGTTAGTTTCCAATAATAGCTTCTTATCAAAATTCTTCTCTGATAAGATATACGCAAGTGAATCTAAAGGATATTCCTTTTCTTCATGATCTATCTTTAAACTTTTATAGTCTGAATTTAAAATACAAATACATAAGTCTATCGTTATATTATCATTGTTCATAGGAATATCTTCGTTGAGAAGAGGTTGTTCATCGAAATCACTATCAGAAATTATTATACTTGGATTTGAATCACTGAGCTTTGATTCATTATATACGGATTCAGATATATGAAATTCAATACAATTATATGACCAACCAACTAACTTTATGATATTTTTAGGCTTATAATTCGTTAATTTATAATTCGCGTTAACAAAGATAACATATTCCTGAGATAACTGACAAGGAGATTGAATACGAAGACAAGAATTATCGTGATGTAATGTAATGGATTCTTTAATACAATTGACTTGAAATTCTCGATTCTTGGGACTGAAAATCGATAGGCTTGAAGGATTCCCAATAATCATCCACAGGATATGACATTCCGTTACATCAAGATTTGTCGTATTCTTTAAGGTTGTTATCATGGCAGAAAATCCATTAACATCATATAAGCTAAATATCACAGAAAAATCTTTTGTCATTAAATTATCTTTGGTTACAATCGATCCAAATACCTCATAATTATTACATTCCAATGGTTGATCTAGATTTACATGCTTATGATGTTCAAGGTTATGATTGTCTAAATCCTGTAAAGTGGCAATTCCGGTCATAATGATCTTAAAATTATTCTGATCATTATTCTCTAAAATCATATCGATCTTCTTCTTTTGTTTAAAATCAAGAATTTCATATAAAGAAATTATGTCACTATATTCTATAATTTCCAACTTATTGTTATTGTTTATATTCTGAATCCAATCCGATAATGAATCATTTACGTCAATAACATTTCCTTTTTGTGTTAACAGGTAAGAAATATTTAAATTATCTAGAATTGGTCGTAAAGTTTTGAAAATTGGCGGCATTAAAATAATCGTGTCGTTATTAAACGGTGCAATTGACAAAATATTTTTAAGAGATCTCCCCAAGACAATTCTTTGTGGAAATAAATGACCATATTCGTTAAAGATATCTTGTAAAGCTTTATACGGTTTCATATCATCAAGTGCTTTGTCTATTGCGGTGGTAAATTCTTCTAAAGGTTTAATGTGATCCTTATTTATAAGAATTTCATATTGTTCACATTTTACCATTAAATGGGGATAGTCTCCACAACATAAATAATCAAAATCACCCTTCTTAATAAACGGGAAGGCGCTAATTTCTTTAATTGAAAAAATATTATTGGATATTAATAATTCTTCCAATTTCGTTGACGGCTTGATTATTTTAAAATAGGATTTGTTGTTTAACCTCACTTCGGGTATTTTGATTAAATTAATTGCAATTCTTTTGCCTATCCTTATTTCACGTTTATTCGTTACAAGACCGTGAAGAAGGTGAAAATCTTTTACAAATCTCGTTAGATTGAAGTAGTCCGAATCGCCGACCCAATCCGTCAAACTTAACTTTTTTTTAAAATTAATCACCTTAGGTATTATTTCATCAAATGCTTTTCCGGACATTGTATTGTTCCTTAATTGCGTGATCGGAATAAGATCGTTATAAGAGATTATCTCAACCTTTTCTTCCCTATATAGCTTATTCATCCAACCGACCAATTTGTCGAGAGTATTTAATTTTTCTCCGACTGATGTTTCTACCCTTGGTAAATAATTTAAGTCTGAAAATTTTCCGAATGGATTCTCGTTATTTTTTTGATATTTTGCATTATCATATGCCCAAAATAAGAGATATTTTAAAAGTTCAATGTCTTCTTTATCGTACAACGTAGAATAAGTGATGAATAATTTGCCACCAAGCAAAGTTCTTTTTGCAAAAAGGTGACCATATAAATCATGCA